TATTAAAAAAATTGACAAAATAATTTTGTCAGCTACAAATCTTATAATTGATATTTAACACACTTCTACCTGTCCAATTGATATGAAATTTTGCACCCTTGTGTAAGGTTGGAGACAATGCATGAATCAATTGACAGAATAAATAATTTTGAAAAAATTATATATTCAAAATAAAATTAGAAATTCTTTGTACATCTGTAACATTGGAGACACTGAATTCTTTAGAAATGTTGTCTTTAAAAAGTCATTTTTAAACATATATTATTCTGAAATATTGTGGCTCTAATACATATAATTTTAGTAGGTACAAAATCTTGCTAATCTAATGTGGTGTTTTTTTATTTTGATTGAAAAAATTTGTGGTTTGCACATTGGAAACCTGTCATTTCATAAAATTTTCAACTTCCGCAGACCTCAACACTCTGTCACTCCCGCTGAAATATCCTGCATAACAAAGTCCATCATGACAGGGCTGGAAAAGTCCTATTTTTTCTGAAATATCACGGCTCTAATATCATATAATTTCTGTAGGTATGAAATTTTGCAGCTCTAATGTCATAATTTTTTGTTTGCTTGAAAAATCTTGGTTTGCACTGTGCAAACATGTTGTTTCATAACATTTTCAACTTCCACAATTTGCAGTATATATAGGTACTTTAATGCTCATGTCTCCAGCCAAAATAACGTGCAGAACGTAATAACGTCAAGTTAACCAAAAATGTTAACTAACCTAGTTGAGGTCACATCAGAGTGGTCAGACATTATCACTTGTTCAGTTGCCGCTCAGGTGAAGACAAATGTTAGTGACTGTTGTTAGGGTAAAATTAGAGATGTGGGGTAACACGTACATGGGACTTTGTAAATAATGAGTTCTTGGCTCGTAAATGGATTTTCACGACTGAGATATGGAATTCATGGCTTGATGAAATGGAATCACAGCTGGCAAACCCACAAAACCAAGGCTTGAAAAATCCAGGCATGGCTTGCCAAGTAGATATATTCCATGCCTGCATCATGATAATGAGTCAGCCTAAAACATTTCTTTGGAGATGTTCAGCTGTCACTAAAGTAAAGACAAATGTTTATTAATTCTGTTTCCAGGGTAAAATTGGCAATTTGGGGTCAGGATTGGAATTTTCCTACTTGTTCCTGAAATCTCATGGCTCCCCGCTCCAACATGACGGATTTTTAATACATTTGTAATATTTTGGCCCAATCTTGCATGTTTGTAAACAATTAGATAGGAGGTAATTCATCTGTCGGAAATATAGTGGTTCCGGAAATTACCGGAAAGCTCTAGTTGCGGTCAGGATTGGAATTTTCCTACTTGTTTCTGAAATCTTGTGGCTCCAATGTGACGAATTTTTAATACATTTGGAATCTCGCAGCCTGATCGTGCAATATTGTTAACAATTAGATAGGAGGTAATTCATCTGGCGGAAATCTGACGGTTCTGGAAATGGCAGGAAAGCTTTAGTCGTGGTCCTAAAGGTACCGTAAAATGGGGTAACTTAGACCGGCGGGGTAACTTAGACCACTTTTCGTTTTTTTAACAAAAACCCCCACAACTCAAAAACTATTTGACATAACAGTGACCTGTCTTGTGCGTTGGACTAAAAAATCATCATTTTATAACTTCTGCCATCACTGTCTGACTAAAGCCAGAACTCTGAAATTTTGAGAGAATGTTCAAAAAACTTAGCTTGATTTGATAATATATTTTAAAAACTTTACAATGTGATATCACAGTTTATTTCTAGCACATGTTCAAAAAACTTAGCTTGATTTGATAATATATTTTAAAAACTTTACAATGTGATATCACAGTTTATTTTTAGCACAAAGGCACCCTTTGCAAATATTGGTCCAGAAAATAGACAATGCAAATTTCTTTAAAAATAATATGGCATTGTCATAATTCAAGTTTTTTCGTTCATTTTCAGGCAAAAGCCAGTCAAATTTTGCTGCCAGTAGAAAGACTTTTAAAACTAAATGTCTTCTGCGTGCACTAACGAAAACTGCCCGTCCAACATTTTGCTTGGTTTGTTGTGGTTCATGTGTCATTTGTGCACATATCTAATTAGAGGCAACTTTTTCTCTCAACATATTATCACAAACTGGAACAGCTTGCCAGACAATGTCGTCAAAGCACCATCTGTAGATACTTTCAAGAGTTACCTTGATAAACATTGGCTTCATCTGCCTACTTTCTATGCCTTATCATGCCAGAACTAGACACTAACTTTTTTTTTGCAGCCCAGCCCAACAGCCGTCCCTGCCTTTTGCTAGTAGTACAAAAGTTAGTATAGTCTTGGGAGAGAGGAACAGGCCTCTGAGAAAGGCCTCAAGAATCTAACTTGTCAGGTTAAGCAACAAATTTAATAGAATCAGTTTATTTTTAATCTCTTTATGACAGACATGACCTCATCTATATTCTAATCAAGATTTAAATCAATATCTTTACTCAAGTATGAAAATGCTGGTATCTGTGATTAGCAGATCTAGTTGGGAAAAGTCCTACTTTTTTTCTGAAATATTGTGGCCCTAATATCATATAATTTTAGTAGGTATGAAATCTTGCTAATCTAATGTGGTGGGGTTTTTTTGTTTGATTTAAAAAAATTGTGGTTTTGCACATTGGAAACCTGTCATTTCATAAAATTTTCAACTTCTGCAGACCTCAACACTCCCGCTGAAATATCCTACATAACGAAGATGATAACATCATGACAGGGCTGGAAAAGTCCTATTTTTTTTAATATCACGACTAATATCATATAATTTCTATAGGTATGAAATTTTGCAGCTCTAAGGTCATAATTTTTTGTTTGCTTGAAAAAAATCTTGGTTTGCACTGTGCAAACATGTTGTTTCATAACATTTTCAACTTCCACAATCTGCAGTATATATACTTTAATGCTTCCACCTCCAGCCAAAATAACGTGCAGAATGTAATAACATCAACAAGTTAACCAAAAATGTTAACTAACCTAGTTGCGGTCACATCAGAGTGGTCAGACATCATTATCACTTGTTCAGTTGCCGCTCAAGTGAAGACAAATGTTAGTGACTGCTTTTAGGGTAAAATTAGAGATGTGGGGTAACACGTACATGGGACTTTGTAAATAATGAGTTCGTGGCTCCTAAATGGATTTTCACGGCTGAGATATGAAATTCACGGCTCGAAGAAATGGAATCACAGCTGGCAAACCCACAAAACCAAGGCTTGAAAAATCCAGGCATGGCTTGCCAAGTAGATATATTCCAATTTATGGTGAGTGAAGCTAGAGTATAGACCTGTATTTTGCATGTTTCAATTCAAGTTTAATTTAGCTAGTAAAAAAATGGCATCATTTATAAAAAAAATATGGTCTAAGTTACCCCATTTTACGGTAGATGTTTTCCACACTTGCTTGGGGTAACATAAGCACAGTCATGCAGGCATGGAATATATCTACTTGGTTAGCCATTACTGGATTTTACATGCCATATTTTTATGGATTTTCCATCCGTGATTCCATTTCTTTGAGCCGTGAATACCATATCTTGGCCATGCCTATGAAGAGCTATTTACAAGCCTTAAACTTATAAACTTATTTACAAAATCATGTGCACCCCAAATCTCTAATTTTACCTTAGAAACAGTCAAACCAAATTTGTCTTTACTTTACTGGCAACTGAACGCGTGATAATGCAGTCTGGCCGCTCTGACGTGACTATGCAATCTTCAATCAAACATTCTGGGTACACTCATTATTATTATGTTCTGAAGGATATTTTGGCAGGAGCCAAAACTGATCACTGTATATTTTGAAGCATAAAGTCTAGTCTTAATGCTGCCTACAGTTCATATCCCCTCAAAATTGCAAATAGATTGTCTTGTTTGCTCATGTTATCTCATTCTTATTTGTTTTCATTTGACAATTTATGTTTTATTATCTTCATTGTGAATTTTAGTTTGCTAATTGTTTGCATTTGTGTTTTATATTTCCGAACTGACAATGGAGCTGGACTCCAAAACATTTTATTGCTTAAGAAATGTGAATTTTCTTACTTTTTTCTTTGCTTTTAAATTCTTGAATATTTTTTAATAATTGGCTTTGAACTTTTTAAATTTTGCTCAGTCTGCATACTGGTCAATTTTTTTTTTTGCATTGAGTCATGGAAAATTTCCAAATAGAAATTGAGTCAACTTCTTTGACTGAAAGTACTAACTGATTTTGTTGGAATAATCTCCAAAAACTGTACTGGGTCTCATCAGGGCCATGCCTGTAAATTATTTTCTTTTTTATGAGACCCCAAAAATATAATTTTCTAATGTTTCATGCATGGGGAATGAACACTCTTTAAACAAGGAGTCAAATTGGCAGCTATTGCTGCTGGAGACATTAAATTTTTGAGATTTTGATTTAAGAATTGTATAGTGCTGCAGAATTGGAATAAAATTGAAGACCATGCTGGTGAGACTTTTTTCTATTTTAGACCATGTGTTATGGCATGACCCACTTGCTAGTTACTTTTTCTATAGAAGTTTTGTGCGGTTTCATCATTTTTGTTCATGTTGATTTCTAAATTAGGTGAATACAGTAGTTTATTGATTGCATATGACCTCTTGTTCAATAGTAATAGAGTAAAGCCCAACAAAAATTTTTATCAGCAGGGGAAACATTATATCAAATGATTTTAGTTCACTGCTGTATTTTATTTTCATATTAACCATACATGTAATAACTACATATATGACCAATGGAATGAATGGATTGATAATATAATGCATTGCAAATTTTAGGCACTGTTGGCAAATGTTTGTTTGCAGTTTATTAGTTCAGTCTGATGACCGGGTCTTCGGAGCTCAATTGGATTAGTGGTTATTGTGCTTTTGTAGTGCAGTTGACATTCAGCATCTTCCCAACATCTGAGGTTTTATAAACTTTTGTGATTAACCAATATTTTTAACCTGGACAAATTAATCGAGCAGTAATGTATCATTTTGCCTAAATAAGCTATGGTATTATTAACCCTTGTGTATCATTCCAGAGCAGGTAAAATTTACCACAACAATTGACTTCTTATCATTCGAGAAAATGAATTTCCTGATCTACGTATTAAGTTTTATTTCACTATGGGAGGCTGCTAGAGCCTACTTCATCACAGTTGATGCTCATGCAGAAGAATGTTTCTTTGAGAGAGTCACAGCTGGCACAAAGCTTGGTATGTAATCCTTTACATAAGTTGTATACAATACTAATGTGATGTCAACAAATTTGATTATTGAGTTCATTACATACGAATTTTTCCATAATTCCTTAGTTCAAGTAGTTAATAATGAACTTATTTTGAATTAAGATGAGTTCAATTTCTGAATTGTATCCATGTGCACTGAACTGATCTATCATTAATGAATTGTTCTGTTTTTGGTCTGGACAGGTCTTGCATTTGAGGTGGCCGAGGGTGGCTTCTTGGACATCGACCTCCGCATTATAGGACCTGACAACAAAGTCTTGCATGAAGGAGAGCGAGAGAGCAATGGAAGGTTACTTTCAAATTAACCACTTTGTTTATTATTCAATTTCTATAGTACCTATCTATGTTCTTTCAGTCTAAATTTTTCTATTTTTGGTTCTCACTAGTTTTGTGGAAAAATTAGAAAAATACTCTTCTCAACTTTTGCACTGTGATGAGACTATGAACTTGACAATTGGTAATATGAATAGAGTTTTCTTTCATGTTTAGAAGGACTAACTTTTTCTGTTTATAGTTCAGAAACACAATTACTTCATTGCATTGTAATTGTTTTTAGGTACACATTCCCTGCTGCTATGGATGGTGTGTACACGTACTGCTTCTCCAACAAGATGTCCACCATGACCCCCAAGTCCATTATGTTTTCCATGGACGTTGGTGACAGTGACGAGAAAAAAGAACATGGCGAGGTTGAAGCTGCAAGTAAGTAGTTGATTTTTAGCTGATTCTATTCAATTCTCCAGTCTGATAACCAAAGGTCTTTAACTGGATAGAGTCCGTGAAGAAAATTGTAGTTTTTCTGTCTAAAAATTACGTGCAATTATGGTATTTTTGTTAATCAAGTTGAAGTTCCTTGGGGTTTTAACCCTATTATTATGCTGTCATATACAGATTTGGAACTATTATGCTTTCTTTCAAAACCAGAATTACTTGCAATCACTTTCCAACCTCTATTTTTTTGCATCCAATGCATAAAACAATAAATGATCCCCATAGATGAAGTTTGACATTTCTCTGGTAACAAGACGTGACAGTATATGGATTAAATATTATATGATGCATTAAATATAATGGATTAAATACTCTGAAAAAATTATTAAAGAATCACAATGGAGTTTTTCTATTAAATTGCCACCAAAGAGATGAAACTGGTGAAATGAACTAGTGTTCAAACTTCAACTATAGCAAATATTGAGAAATAAAGGAACAAGGAATTAGAATTGGTGACTGTGAAGGGTGCACTGCAGAAGAATGTCATGCCAAACTCATTTGAAAAACTTTTCACTCATATAAAACTTATTTGAAAAGCTGTGCAAGATATGTTCATTGGGAGCAGTGGCCTTGGCTCTTGGCAAGTGCCATGCCTGAGGCTGGCATGAGTGCTGGATTCTTGAACCAAACCATGCCAAACTAAACCATATCACACTGTGCTGAATATCTTGTTCTACCCAAGTTTTGGTCATATCAAAAGAATTACAGTTGGGTATTTGTTGTTTGCAAATTTTCCAAATTTGTCAAATTTTTTCTATAGATAATGATTCTGATTATTCCATTTTGATGATGACAATATTTGATGAAATTCTTCCGTATGCATTATTTATAGGATTGTTCAATGTCTTTGCTTCTTCAGTGATACCTCGCACAACTTGCAAGTTCTGTCCAAAATTTCCCCGTGCCTCTCTATCAGTTGTATTCTATGAACTGTGCAGTGAAATTGTGTTGTTGCAGTCAACTTGTCTTCTCAGTAGAGCTGTTGCATGAAAAAATATCAGAAGAACATTCACTCTCGTTACTGGCTTCTAGAACATGATTTCTTTTTAGCGCATTTCCTCATTTATGGAAAAAATGCACTATTGTGCTCGCCATGTCCGTCTGTTTGTCCACCTGTCCGTCCGTCCGTGACCTCAAGTTTTCGTCGATTAGAAAATGTGCGCTCTGTCACTCACTGCAGTGAGTACTGAGTTATATTTTTTGATTAGTTTCACCAGAGTTTACTGGCATCTAGTAACGCTATCATAACTTCCTGAAATATGATCATCTGTTATTAGACTGATGGATGATGAAGCAACACTGAACCAATCGACTCATTTTTACTGATTGAAAGTCCATTTGACTACAGGAAAGAAATTTGACTGTCATTTGTTGCAACTGTTCAAGTTAAGATACTTCGCAGTAAGTTATTGCTGTTTAAACTAATAGTGTTTCAATTTTGGAAATTGGTAGAAAAGTCACAGGTGTACTTGGTTTTTTGCTGGTCATGTGCATCACTCAGCACTTGCAATTGCTTCCCGTTTTGAAATGGAATAGTTAGGGCTAGCAGAATAATAATAATAGTAATGATGGGTAATGGTTTTTGTGGTTAATGGTCTAGGAGTAGGTAATTGGTTGAGATCAGTGGTTCTCTAAGTGGGCTGTACCGCCCCCCTGGGGGCGGTGGAAAGATCTGGGGGTACGCAGGAAGAAGCAGTGGCAGTCCAAAGTCAAAGTCAGAATTAAAACGTTTGTTTGACGATTTGTACACAAAACATGCAGCACACGGCTCCCAGCGATGATGGGTTTTTCCACCCAGATCTGGGTTTTTTTAACCTCTCCTGGGTTTCTAGTGTAAAATTTTGAAAATATTCGAAATCTGGGTTTCTTCATCAATCACTACTCTGAATAGAATACCTAAGAAAAGATCGCTTTCCATACGGTAGAGTTAACCGCATCTGATACAAAATTACACACACCTATGCAAGATGAATGTGTTGAAATATTTAATAGGAGAGTCATACGAGTATCAAAGGAGTTTGAACTGATTTTATTTCCGTTCGGGACGTTGCAAGCCCGTGTCTCGCCACTGAGCGCTGTGCCTCAGTCCTCAGTTCAATGTTATGCCTGTGATGCGGCGTGCGTATACGTTCGTAACTAAGATTGAGGCACAAGTTCATTGTTTTTTCATCACTGGTAAAAATTTAGACAAATATTTTTGGTAGAACTTGCCATGTTGTGATGAGCTGGTTAGGGTGGTATATAACAATATCAAGAAAGATGTTTATTTTCATATGTGTCTGTGGGGGGCGCTAGGAATTCACTGGAGAGCACACACTGTTTTTACATGCAGCACACGGCTCCCAGCGATGATGGGTTTTTCCACCCAGATCTGGGTTTTTTTAACCTCTCCTGGGTTTCTAGTGTAAAATTTTGAAAATATTCGAAATCTGGGTTTCTTCATCAATCACTACTCTGAATAGAATACCGTACCTAAGAAAAGATCGCTTTCCATACGGTAGAGTTAACCGCATCTGATACAATATTACATGCACCTATGGAAGATGAATGTGTTAAAATATTTAATGAGAGTATTATACGAGTATCAAAAGAGTATGAACCGAGTTTATTTCGTTCGGGGTGCTGCAAGCTCGTGTCGCGCCACTGAGCGCTGTGCCTCCATGCCTCAGTTCAATGTTATGCCTGTGATGCGGCGTGCGTATACGTTCGTAACTAAGATTGAGGCTTAAGTTCATTGTTTTTTCATTACTGGTGAAAATTTAGACAAATACTTTCGGTATAACTCGCCATGTTGTGTTGAGCTGGTTAGGGTGTATATAACAATATCAAGAAAGATGTTTATTTTCATATGTGTCTGTGGGGGCGCTAGGAATTCACTGGGGAACACACACTGTTTTTTAACAGCCAGCCTGCAAAAGTTAAGGAACCACTGGTTAAGAGGTTGTTGGTTAAAACGTTGTTGGCTTGAGGTTAATGGTTTAGGGGTAGATAATTGGTTTAGAGGTCGTTGGTTCGAGATTAATGGTTTAGGGGTAGATAATTGGTTTACAGGTCGTTGGTTTGAGGTTAATGGTTTAGGGGTAGATAATTGGTTTACAGGTCGTTGGTTTGAGGTTAATGATTTAGGGGTAGATAATTGGTTTAGAGGTCGTTGGTTTGAGGTTAATGGTTTAGGGGTAGATAATTGGTTTACAGGTCGTTGGTTCGAGATTAATGATTTAGGGGTAGATAATTGGTTTAGAGGTCGTTGGTTTAGAGGTTAATGATTTAGGGGTAGATAATTGGTTTAGAGGTCGTTGGTTTAGAGGTTAATGGTCATACAGATAATTGCTATATTGTATAATGACTCGCACGCGCTGTGGCTGGTCTTGCAGACGACACGGTGCACGTGCTGCCTAAATTCGAGCCCAGACAAGAGAGCTTCAATGAGAGCGTTGCGTTCTCCAACTTCACTTACTCGTTCCGTTCTTTTGGTAATGCGTGACGTGTTACTTTGTCTAACATCCATTGTTGTGAACCGTTCTTCAGTTATGCGTGTTTCAATTTATAATCACGTATTTGTTCTTGAACAAATCCACCAGCTAATAATCGTTTTTGTATTAATTTACGTAAACATTACGTCTCCCATTACCTGATGTTTATGAACACATACAATTTCATTCCTGTTCGTGACGTGCCCTTCTCAACAACTGTTGTTCAAGGTCCCATTTTCGAAGGCCCCTTTTCGCTATGAGTCTTATACTGCTTAAGATCTGGCCCACCCAAAGTAACAAGTACCAGAGTTCGTTTAAGGACACTAAACCAAGGCCATGCTGGAAGCACCACCTTTGACGGCGATTATCAAGCACCACCCATCTGCAACACCTGGAAATGAACTGGGCCCATACTTTCAAAAAAAGCTGAGAGATCGTAAGTTTACAGCCAATCATTGACGACCTTTCAAGCAAAATCCAGCAGTCATAGTCAAGAAAATAGAGCGTAAGTACTTATGTTCACTGAGCGAGTTTTGAAAGTATGGCCCCTGAGCTTCCCAAGGCTCTAATCCACGCCCAGGTTCTGTCATCTCGGTGCCGCTAACACTGCGCCATAGCGGCGGTAACCACAGCGCCATGTGGCGCTAACCACTGCGCCATAGTGGCGCCTGATATGCATGGACGCTCGCCATGAATGCCTGTGACGCCCATTAACTTCTGAGTGATATCCTCTTATTCTGACGTTGCGTTTTTTGGGCAACCAAACGTAATGCTCTTATTTTCTAACACAATTTGCAGTGTATTTTTTATTACCGAAATTATTTTAACAGTTTTCTAATCTTATAAAATCAAAGCGATGCGTGGATGCAATCGAACAACAGAAACGCAACCTGCTTGTTGCAACGACAGACTTGAATGAAATTACTGTTTTCGTACGTCCAAACAATATTTGCTTGTATTAAACTTGTTGAGTTTCCAGGTGGAGGCGACAACAAGCTGGAAGACATGATCAAGGAGCTGTCGGCCGCCTTGTCAGGCGTCAAGCACGAGCAAGACTACATGGAGGTGCGGGAACGCATCCACCGCTCCATCAATGACAACACCAACTCCAGGGTGGTCATGTGGTCCTTCTTTGAAGCCGTCGTGCTTGTGTCCATGACTCTAGGTCAGGTGTACTACCTCAAGCAGTTCTTCGAGGTGCGCCGAGTGGTCTAGTCTTGTGCCTCTGTCCATAGATACTTTGTAGTCACCATCCTACGACGGTCGTTACAAGGATATAGGAAAACAGTGAGCATCATACGACGGTCGTTACAATGATATAGGAAAACAGTCAGCATCCTACGTGGTCGATGATATAGGAAAACAAGTCCTGCGTTGATATGATGGATTTTATTATTGTCTATGCTTGGCGGGAATTTCTTCTTGAGCATTTATTTCTGAATGAAATTAAGGTTGAAGCTTTGTTATTGTTTTTTTTTTGTTAAGATTTAACCACAGTTTGAGGTTTGTGCTAGATGGTCTAGTAATACATTGGGCGTTCTCGCACCTTATGACCAAGTGGAGATAAGGAAATAGAATTTATGTTAATTAGTAGTGTTTTGGTAGCACTAGCACCCCACTGGGCGTAGTAAGGGTCCAGTGTGGCAATCTTGCTTGGTATATCTCGTCTCTTGGAGGTATGCAGGAAAATCCTGGAACGTGTCAATGCGTGTTCATTTGACACTTGCTTGTCCAAGATGTTTGGAGAACACTCGTTGAAAAAGCCTGATCCGCGGCACAGCTCAAGCGATTGCTTTCTAACTACGCTTTGAATTGCAAACTTTGATGAAATTTTGTCAATATAGTATATTATTTGCTCTTAGAATCGTGTTAAATTTTCAAGAATTTATTGGGGAGTATTAATATTTATGCGTTATTTTTGCCGTAAGCCTGTTTTCTGTATTCCATTTATTTTAGTTAGGCGATGAACGGTTGATGGGAAGCTAATTGTGAAACTCTAAATACCTGTATTATTAGCCTTAAGTCGGTCCACAGACACTAGCAGGCGATTACTCAATGAATGCTTTACAAGCATGGCAAAAAAATTCTATTCGATATTGAAGCTTCTGCTACATCTTCTTTTATCTTTCCGCTGCTGGAGGTGAAAAGTTTTTTGGTTGTAGGTTATAGTGTACGACTTCAGTGGTTGCAAGAAAATTTTAATTTGGATATTATGACTCTCCTTGATCACCTAGTGTAATGAAAAGTTGTCTGTCACTTCATAAAACTTTCAATAAAACAATAATAAAAAAACTCTACGGATTTTCTATCAAGCCACTTTGCGCCGATGTGTATTCTTGTTTTTCGGTAAATTAAATTAGTCCATCTCAATGTTCGTTCATAGCAATCATGTTCATTATTTGGTAAGAAGTAGACTTGCCTTGTCGGCAGTGAACTGTTCCGTGACTGCGTTTGTCTTTCAAATCTCTCTGCGATGTACCAAGCACTCGGTAATCCCCTCACATACACTATCATTATATCTGAGTTATTGCTGTTATTTTTGGCAACTTATGCGTGCGAGGCCGCCACAAACCCTCCATGTTTATAAAAATAACTTTAGACCGCTGCTGCAGTTTTTGCACTATCGATACCTCTGCACCACAGAGATTAAATTACTTGATTCGTTCTGGCGGTTTCAAACCACTAACTGATGTGGTTTAAAAAATAAGCTCTTAATGACGTCAATGTAAAATATATTTTTAAAGGAAGAAACTGCAAAATTAAATTACCCTTGTACCGCGTAGCGAATTTTCCCCTTTCCCAACTGAAGCGATGTTGAACCCGAGGTGAATGGTTAGGTGATCATCACGAATGCCGGGTCAGTGCAGAACTAGGCCGTAATGTGCTACTTCAAAATAAAGTGTATATTGATGACCAACACGCTCACGTATTCGACTTGAAACTTCAGCGCTGCTCGTAAATTGATGTATTGAAACTGTTTCTTGAAAACTCATGCCATATATACTCGTACAGTTGCATTCCCTCAACTTGTGAAGAAGTCATTATGATCTTTCCCGTAAGATAAAAATAAAATTTACCGTCTTAGTTCTTTCCAAATTAAAGACAATATCGCCGCTATTTTACCTAATCCTATAGCGGAGAACCCTTACCGTCATTTATCGGGATTTTTGTGGTTAATTGTGTAATTGTCGAATTTAATGAGTGACGTGTTATGAACATAAGTTGGCGCCAAGTTGTAGTCTTTTCTCAAAAGCACGATAATGTCTGCTTAGATCCATGTGTTATCTAGGATAACAATTATTCATAATAGGTGGAGTTTTAGCTATAAGCAGGTTTCATTGAAGACCAGAGAATTCGTTTTATTGACAATTTTATTATTAGTTTTTTCAAGAGATCGAACAAGATTTTTCGTTTGCACGGGTAAATCAAAAATCAGATTACCGAAGGACATTTTTATTTCTTTAACGACGTTTCGAATGTTTCTATCAATCATTATCAAATGACTGAGACTTTGTCAAATGACTGAGACTTTGTCAAATGACTGAGACTTTGTAAAATGACTGAGATTTTGGCAAATGACATAGACTTTGTCAAATCATCTCATCGCTTTGACTCAGTCATTTGACAAAGTCATTTGACTTTGTCAAATGACTGAGACTTTGTCAAATGACTGAGACTTTGTCAAATGACTGAGACTTTGTCAAATGACTGAGACTTAGTCTCAGTCATTTGTCTCAGTCGTAGTCTCCTCGGCAACGTGTCCACTGTTAGCATACTGCAAAGCTGCTTGAATGCAAAAGTTTTCCGTTATGAGTTTGTTATCTCGTAAAATGACGGGATTAAATTAAATAATTACTTTCTTAGCGTAAGTTCAAAGAACCTAAGGTCATGTTTCGAAGTCTTGTGCTTCGTTTGACGATCGCCTCCTTTGCATAATTAATATCCTTCTTGGTCAGTTTTCTGTTCCACTACAGGCATGTTTTCTATATCAGGGCTTTTTGTGCGAGTTTCGATTAGATGTCACCCTGGGTTCTGGTAGCAACGAAAAACTTCCTGTTGGGGCTGAGGGCAATAGATTACTCAGGTGGAGATCCAGTGAATTGCCGAGGACTGCTTCGTTCGAAAAACTTATCAGGGATTCCAAGGTGTACCTAATAGTTTATGCTATGATGCACAACTTTTCTAAATACTGTACTATATACCACACTGAACGAGTACAGTATTTCACCCGAGTTCTATATCGTTACGACGCATTTCATAATTAAAGGATGACAAAAATCAATAATATTTTCTTTTTATTATAGTTTTATGTTATGTTCGTAAGATTCTTATCAAAACTGCATAATAGTAACATTCAGTTTCTAGCTTATCTCTTCAGCATATGGTGAAATATCTGGCGCGTATGAGACGTGTTGAAACTCGCTGGATGATATTTTTTCGGCATTGTCCCTCGAAGAACTTGAAACTCCCAAGGATGGCTACCTAGGTGCTTTGGATATAAATAGATTTACAAATTCAAAGTGTCAAGGAATTTATCCCGAATTTTTTTATAATTCATCTGGCTACTCAGGAATTTTTCAAGACAGTGCCACTGACAGGCGGTGCGCCGGTGCCAGACGCAGACTGCCAGTGGGAGTTTTCCCGAGTGTCTGAGACCAGAGACTGACGAGGCTGAGACTTTGAAATCATGCTAGCCTAATGGGAAATGGCAATATCAAATTCGACTGAAAATAAGAATAGCTACCTAAATAACCTAAAGTCCTACAAATAATTTTAAATGTTGAATTTGCGCAGACAGAAAAATGGAGGAGAATTAAATTTCTCAGGAAGAAACTTTGAAATCATGCTTTTCTAGTGTCAAATTGAAATGGCAAGTTACCAGCACAGCTTTATCATACATAAGATTTTGATTTAAATCTTGAGTAAATGAGGAAATTAAAAATGAACTGATTCTAAAAAATTTTTGGTTTGTCACTATGTATTGCTCTTCCAGTCTGCCTCAAGGCTCAAAAGTTAAAACTCATCACATTCATATTCATACCCATCATGATTTGTGCCAGCAACAGCAAGATTTTAGTATTTTGTATGATTTTTAATTTTTAATCAAATGCAGGAGTCAGGACTATATCAATGTGATTGATTGATGCAGAATGCAGACAGCTGTGCAGGGCACACGCAAGCCGCACGCGGCAGCAGCCATCAGTGAAAGCAGCAAAGGTCACCATCGTGGCACTGGCAAGTGGCAACTGAGTGGCAAGTGGCAACTGACAGTCTGACAATGTATAGTAATAATAGTTTTTCACTTTTCAGACACTTTCTTTTTGAGCTGTGAGCCCCACCACTCTGGCAGTGGCATGGTGTCAAAGCAGTTAACAGAGACTGTGAGAGACATATTTAGACTCTTCCTCAATTTCATTTTTGAGTCCTCTAACTGCATAAAGTCAAATGGGGTGAAAAGGGACAGGCAGGGTAAATAGGAAATAGAAATGTAGCAGCTAAATTAATCAAAATATTGCAAAACTAAAAATAGTGGTGTAAACTTCAACATTTTTACTATTTATTATGTATAAAGCTAGTCAAGAAATCAAACATTTACTATCCCTCAACCAGACCAGGTCTCAAAGCATCACAATCAAGCAGCTTCATCTTAAGATTCGCGATGAAATCAATAGGCCCCGTGACACTCTCAACAATGTCAATCTCAACGAGACTGTCACTTGCACTGTGCTGGAGGAACCCACCAGCATCGTCATCGTGCGGTGGCCCGACATAATCCGACCGACGATAGCTGAAGCCCTTCTCTACAGATTGGACTCCATCTATCCATCTAATAACTACCTGATTTTCTACGCTTTGAGATTGTTTTGGAATTATTTTCACAGTTCCAAATTTTCTTGTTGTATCCTATTGTATTTACTTTAATCGTGTACTTATTTCCATCAAAATTTCTGTATTCAATGCTTCCTTTAACTTGAAAATGAATGTTGTTACATTCGAAACGTCGTTAATAAAGTGATATTACTCCCTTGAACCTGCATTTTGATCAACTAATGTCATCTGAAGAATATTGTTCGACCCTGAAAATTTAAATTGACAAATTCTCTGGCCATTAACCACCCATGTTGAAACAAGCTTATTCTGCCTTCTGATACTAGCTATACTAATATGCGTATGTTCTTAGATGCGTGGATACATTAATTAGATAATAAGATGAATTTTTTTAGTCACAAACATATTTGCTGCAGCATACAGTACACAGATTATGCCAGATCTTCAATTTTACCCCAGAATTAGCTAAATTAGCTACAAAAGCACTATTCACTTTGGAGGCAATTTATGCACAATAGCATAATTTTTACACTTCTTAAATAACCAAAGTCAAAGTGTTGAAGTCAGACATGATGCAACTACAAGATCATCAATGAAAATGCTTTTTCTGCCATCACTATACGGGCAGGAACACTAATAAACTGGGAATGTTCACAAATTTATGGAACTATAATTTCAAGCTGCAATATTAATGGAAAAACCATAATTAATGACTGCAGCCTCAAAAATATCCTGCCCACCAAAATGCTGTGATTTTTGAGCAGCGATAATTTGGCAAAAAGTTGGATTTTCCCAAGGTTATCAATAATATCTATGCTAAGCTTGTGTTGACACCTGTTGTGAGATTCTAAAGTATATAATGTCATCCATCTTTTATCAGCAGGTTGTAATTTGGTAGGTATAGTTACTACATCACAGATACAAGGACAATGAGCTTTTTTTTCAGGTCAACCTGCCAGCAATTTATCCTGCCCCTTGACATGCAAAAGATGTCTCCACTTATTTTTGCTAATTGAAATCCTTCTCTGAAATAACTTGAATTTATAGAGAAATTTTTACAGTTATATATTATATTTAGAATTCACAGCAAGCTCCAAAGTTCTGGTAAAAAATTATCATAAATGATGGTTAAAGACAAATTCATCATCTGAAAATAATTATTGATTTAATTGAAGAGAATGGTGTGGATATATACAGGCTACTGTGGCTCAGTGGTTGTGCTGTGCAGCTGCTGCATCTGCTTGCTAAGCAGCAGTGTAGGGCTTGTGGCTGTATGGAGCCTAGGCTTGTTGACGTGTGCTGTCTTGTCAAGTTATTTCACTGCACTTGTCATCACCAGAGCCATCAATGATGACTTCACCAACTTTGTTCCTAAATCTTTTGAGCAAGGATGCTTCTTTTTGCTCAAAGAAGTTCAATCCAGGTGTGTATCTGGTCTTATAAAGGCTTTTAGCTAGTTTTGTAAGAACTACAATTATACTTACTAAAGTAGGTACCTAGTAGTTACTAGTTTGGAATTTGTCAATATTACTCTCTCTAATGCATTAAATCTTACATTTATTTGTTCCTTATTTGTACAGGCTATCAAGATCAAATGGAGTTGTGGCAAGCCAAATCAAATCAGGCAGTGCTGCTGTGCCCATGTGCATGACAATTCTGGTCAGCAAGTTTCAGTCCTTGAACCCAGAGAAATGTAAAGTCAAGAGTTCATCATCGTCATCAGTTGATGATCAAAATAACCTTGTTGAGCAGCAACTCTCTGCGCTGTCTCAGCACCTGCATGACCAACTGGTGCTACCATGGTATTTGGGCCTATCACCCGATGGCTTGTCTCACCAACAGGTACATCTTATAACTGATATATGCTAACTCTGAAATTGTATGTGAAATTTTAGTGCAGATTTAAAGCAGAATTTTTATTTTTTTATGATTACCTTTTAACATGACCTCTAAATTTCTATTGCTAAATCATTAAAAAATATGTTTAAATGTTTGTGCAACTTCCCATTTTTACAGTGAAATCTAATAATAAAATTACAATTATTGTGTACTTGTTAATTTATTTAATAGTTTCATTAATACAAGCGTGGCGCTGAATTCCATTGAATAATGAACAATACAGCGTTGAAGATTCTTAATTTCCAGTGTTGATGCATTCAGTGTGAATGCATCAACATATCAATCAACCATTTACATATTTCAATATTTACATATTGAAATATTTGTATATTTAGGATAGAGCCCTTCATTTAAACATGTTTGGTTAAAAATAATGCCAGTTTTATTGAGGACATCTTTTCAGTTTAATCTCTCAATCTTTCTGATAAGAGGAGCTTGAGAGATTAAAAGCTTGAGAGATTAAACTCAAAAGATGTCCTCAATAAAACTGGCATTATTTTTAACCAATCAGAGAATATTAAAGAATAAATATTAAAGAGGATTAAAAGCTTGAAAGATTAAACTCAAAAGATGTCCTTAATAAAACTGGCATTATTTTTAACCAATCAGAGAATATTAAAGAATAAATATTAAAGAGGATTAAAAGCTTGAGAGATTAAACTCAAAAGAAGTCCTCAATAAAACTGGCATTATTTTTAACCAAACATGTTCAAATGAAGGGCTCTATCCTAAATATACAAATATTTCAATATGTAAATATTGAAATATGTAAATGGCAGCTTAGCGGAGTGCTGGAGGATGTGCTGCTGTCGTGCTGGCAGCAGCTGCGGCAAGCAGGCGGCGTGAGGTCCTTGCTGCTAGCCGCATGCGACGTCTTCAGCCAGCTGGCCATCGCTCACACCACCAGCAGCCTGCATGGCGTGCATGGCGGGGTAATGGGCTATAATGTTTATCATGAAGTCTTTATATTATATCATATCATGTTAAGTATCATATCATATTAAATATGATATGATACTATCATATTAAGTATAAAGTAAGTAATCATATTAAGTATAAATATCATATTAAGTCTTTATGATACGTATTAAGTTTGAAATTACTCTTGATATATATCAATTTTGTTTTAGTATGATCTATTAAGTTTGAAATTCCTCTTGATATATGCGGTATATAAAGTTCCTTTTATTATGTTTGTAGTTTCACTTGATTTATATTGAGTTTTTCTTAAGATTCAAATGAAGGGTGGAAGCCCTAATTCTAAATTTCTTACCGTTTTTATGCAGGTAATAGAAAAATTTATTTTTACATTTGTTGAGAAATGCATTTAGGTGATCTTGAATTCATGAACAGTCAGTTGGTCACTGAGAAGAATATGAGGTGAATTGTAGGCTTTGAAAATGTATAAAATTTATTTTCCCCACATTTTCGGTGATGTGTGCATTCATAATTTGTATCTAACAATTATTCAGCTTATACCTATTTAAACTAAAGTCAGGGAATATAATTGTCTTCCAATTCGCTCCAATTAGCAGGAATGAATTTGTCATTAGACTTCCATCTCATGTCTTGCTTCATTCATTTGATGATTATTGTTCTTCAGAGCGCTACAACGGCGGCAGGCTTGAGCCCAGAGGTGCAGCAGCAACTGACCACGATGTCCCAGCTGATAGTGCTGCGTCACTTACCTCCACTGATGTTGCCCTGCAAGGCCGTGGTGTTGTTGCTGCGTGACCTCCTCACCTGCAACTTCGTGGTCCCCCTGTACCTGAAGCTGTGCCAGCCGTGCCTCATCTTGCGGCAGTGGGGGGCATCTTCTGTGCTCAGCGACCGTCGGCCAAGTGTACAGGAACAGCACGCCACGAGTTCTGCACTGAATAATGACACCGAAATTACATTGGCTTCTCATGACAACATACACAGCGACGATGTCAAAAAAGTGTCTGACAAAGTTGAAGCTCGTGGGAAAGGCATAGTTTCTTACCGCGCTAAAAGAAGGCTTAACTCGGGACGACGCAGATGCCTTCATTCTTCGTCACTCGGCAAGGAGAAAATGTTGAGGAGAATTTTGAAGCCTCCAAATGCCATAAAATGCGGTGCCATATTCATGAAGGGCGTTGTTGATGGCATGACTGAAGAAGACTACAAAACTTGCTATTTTTTCAACGATTTGCCGAAGTATATTGCTCCTTTGAACTTTCGCAGGAAAAGCTACAGTTTGCCTGTTCATGATCATAACTCAGATCCCGGCACTCCTGTCCATTCGTCTAATTCGATGCCAATAGTTTCTAGGTCTTTGCCAAGCAGTCCGCGACATTTCGTCTTGCAAGCCGTGGCACAGTCTGGCTGTAATGCACACCTCAGCAGTGGTATTGAGGAGCACAATGTTGCGCACGACCCATGCAACATTGCTACTTCTCTTGTGAGGGTTGTTGGGCAACCTGAAACTCCCCACCAAGGCAGATCAAAATTAAGTACTACAAGTAGTGTCGCCGTTACTCATGGTGATGCGGAGGTGCCATCGAAACATTTTGAAACACAGAGCTGCAAGTATGTAGCAGTGAGTAACGACCGTGTGGATTCATCCTCACTATATTTTAATGGAGCAATGCAACAAGAAGGTTCCGAGCCCCTTCTCGCCTCGGATAATTTCTCCTTCAAATCCGATTACTTGCGTGGCAACTCTACAAACAGTGAAACTCCGTCGCACTCCGAGCCGGCAGGCTTTGTGGAAGCTAATTTTGAAAATAAAAATAGTAATTACGAAGTCATGGGCCAAACTAACGCCGCTATTTGCTCGAGGATAGAGAAGTCTGTGCCTGCTCGCGCTGCAGCGTACAGCAGAGACCCCGCACCCGGTGCTGGGGATACCACTCTGTGTATGGTCAGCAATCAACGTCCAGCTGCCGGCGTCATCCAGCCATATTGTACCGAGTCCCACGCTCAGCTGCTACTCAAGAAGAAGAAGCTTGTTAAGATGCATTCCTTCGATCACTTAGATGATGTCCTTGATGCTGTCTCTGCCTATGAAAGAAATAGTCGCTGTTCTGCTATTAATTATCCGTGTTGTAGCCGTGACGATTGCTTGCAGCATTCCGATCATTGTGCAGCATTACCCGGCCGAGGAGGACCGTATACTGAGCGCAACTGCCGGCACAGAAGTGGTTCATGTGGAGAAGTTCGTCGCGGTTGCAAAGAATATGGTTGTGAATTACCCTTCTCAAACGATAATACAAATGATAAGCTATTTCTAAGGGACGCTCGTGATGTGGCAACGCCTCTCATTAAACATTCTGCTCAAGCATCTGCTTCCTGCGTGTCGTGCAGTCAAGAGCATTTCGCTCTCATCAGTCCCACGTCGCGGCGGACTAAAACACCTTCTTTGATTAAACCTTTACACGAATATTCTAGAGCTTCGGTGAGGTATGTATCACAAACTAATGACAGACTACTACCTTGCCATGGCACCACTTCGTCGCCCCAATGTTCTGCACTAAATTCAAGACCTGCGGGGAGCTCAGTGAATGCAATGCCCGTCGAGAAATCGTACACGGCGCACACAGCTTCTTGCTCTCCCGACGAACGGTCGGTAAAAGGGAATATCGCAGGTTTAAATTGCATGGAAATGTTCAAGTTTGAGATAGCTGGTGCAATACATGACAGCGCTATTGAGTGTCCATCGAAACTTTCTGTGGACGTTTCCAGCAAGGCTCCTAAAGTGGACGTCATCAGTGCGACGCCAGCGTCTCAGTCCCGCGTTACCGACGAGTTGAACGTTGCCACCCCGACGCCGGTAGACAACCCGCGCGAGGCAAGACCTTCGCCTGAGGTACTCCTGAAGGTGAGGGCCTCCTCGGCTGGCAGCTCAGCTGAATCCAAGGAAGCCTCGCCGGAGGACGGATGTGCGCGCGGCGACACCAGAGTGGCGGCAGCGGCTCGAGCGACAGCGACCTGCCGGCAGACACGCCCCCCGACAGGTACCCCGCTATTCGGCCGCATTTGTTCTGCCAAGCGTTATAATTGCTTTGATTATCTGCTTGGTGCAGTCAGAGATAGTTGCTGAATGAATTTGTCGTCTGCTTTCAGCAAGAGGACTCCAAGGGCTCAGTGGGACGTTTTCTAACTCTTTTACAGGGTAAAATGCTACGTATTATTCGGTAATTAGGTTTTCATGTGTTTTATTCATCTTTTTCTAGCAAGGTTGATTTTCCTAAGATCGTTCTACTTGATAGTTGAGTATAGTAGAGTAGTAAGTACTTGATAGTAGAGTAGTAATAGGTTCCCGTTTACTTGAGAATTTAATAGGTTCTCGTAATGTTCCCGTAATTTACGGGAGAATTTAATAGGTTCCGTAATGACTGAGAATATCGTGGTGTATAATTCCTTCAACTTCAGACGAGTCAGGAACTTGTTAGCAAAGAGCAAGACAATGATTCTCTTCCCTGACTACCTAGAGGTGCCGAGGACGAGACCTACGACGCCGTGCCCTGCGTGCGTGCTTCAAGAGACGCCGCTGCCGAGGTGCTGGAGGGGCGGGATGTGCCACGGGATGGTCGTCTTATAGTGAGCTGCTCCATCCCGTCCACTGTCATGCAAGATGATGCATGTGGCGCCCCCTACACGCTTTACCTGCTGCAGTACGACGCGCTCTATCTGCTCCACGAGACCAGGCACACAAGCGATGCTGCTAAGAGTGGAGGAAGTGAGCCTTCTAGTGGCAGTGGCGCCGCGACGGCAACAAAAGTCGCTGCCCTCGACGCATCCAACAGTCTTCCTCTGGACACGTGCAGGGGCGTGAGCAACACATCGTCTCTTGTTGAGGCTGCCGCGTCGACTGCGTGTGACACAAGCCCATCAGTCGCTGGTCGCGGCCAGGAGGAGTCCTGCGAGGTTGAAGGGAGCAAAGTCTTGCCCCGTGGCCAACGGGGCGATCAGACACATCGTCTTATCCTGCACACAAGTTCCGTGCAGCGAAGGTGAGGATCCTGTCGTATCCTATTTCTTGAACGGTAAAGCCACAAATGTTCTCTTTTATCAGCTTGGGTTCAAAGTTGAGAAATTTTAATTTATGACTGTCTGCAGTTTTTTAATTGCCTTTGAAAAAGGGACAATAAAATTACTTATAGCATATGATTATCAAGAATTAGAACAATTAAAGTTGACCGGTCTCTGAATTAGTCTCGTTCAAATTGTGTTCAGGTTCAGAGAGTTTGTGTGTCTCCACGAAGCGTTATGGGCGGACCCTAAGCTGCGCGTCTCGCTACTGGGCGTCACAGGACCGAGCAGATGGCGGCATTTGCCCCACGGCAAGCTCACCGCCGCCACCGTCAGCATGAGGCGGACTTTTCTCGAGAATTACATGCGCATTTTGCTGCAGAGAGTTGACGTCAACACTTCGCTGACAATGCGCCAGTTCTTGTGCTATGGTTCCGACGCTCAGTTCGGAGAGTTCCGGCTTCCTTATGAGGTATATTGGTCGTCGCAGGAGGACTTCAGCTCATGCCGTTGCCACGAAGCATCGGAGGAGCAAGCGGGCACATGTCGAGGTAACTCTGGCACAACTCAGTGGCCTGGTGATGTGGTGTGCTCCTCCAAAGCTCATACGGGGGCTGAGAAGCGCCCCACTAGCCTCTTCTGTCATGACTCATCCGTACCTGGCCAACAGCCTGGGTCGTCTGGCACCGAAGACCTCGACGAGATAAACCTCAGCAACGTGTTTGATATTGACAGCTGTGAACTCAACATCGCCATCACGGCAGAGTTGCAGGTAAGACGACGAAATCCTATTGCAGGATTGACGGCAAAATCCTATTGAGGATTTTGTTGTAACGCTCTTATTTGATTTTTTTCATATTGTGCAAAATACATGAATCCCCAAGCGATGACTGCCACAACGGTCTTCTAGCCTAGTCATAATACTTAGAACCTAGAAGTTCTAAGGTCACCTAGGAACCGTCACATAAATATTGTTATTAACGTCCACCAAATATTTTCAGCCATGTGAAATGGAGGAAGCTTTGTTTGAGGACATCGTGACAGGCGAGAGTAGCTTCTCTCCGGACGCAGGGCACTCGCATGACGCGGCCTCCAGGCACGACTACTGCACGATAGTCACAGGCGCCTCGCCGCACCTGACGAGCTCTCCTGATATGCACAACTACGCTTCCTTGCCCTCCTTCGTTAGACCAAACTCGAATGTTTCAGCTAACAATGTCGGCCCTGGGTACTCTGCGTTACTGGCCACCTCCGATCCTTTGCTTGCAGGGAACTCCGCCTTCTCGCAAGCTTTTCATTTCTCCGATTTCGGGAACAGCGTCGCCGATTCTCTTTCTAATGCTCTACGCCACCCAATGTGCCCTGACGTGGGTATCCTGAGGAGGTCTGTCAACACACTCAAAGACTGCACATTTTCTACGTTCTCATCCAACCCGCCTGGGAACTGTGTTCGTACAATGGATTTTACTGAAGACGATCTTGCCGGCGATCATTTGAAACCTTCGCTGTTCCCGAGTTCTTGTCGAGGGACCGATCTTACATCTCCTCGGACTTTGAGTGTTTCGAACCTCGCTGGATCGGGCCAGTCTTCAGCGGAAGCTTCAGTGTTACTTGCACAGAACAAAGAAGTGGTGGATTCTCCAGATCTTTTTCGACGTAGACGATCGTATGCTGATACAGCAGACCGGGAGAACGACATTAATTTCACCAAGGATGATATCGCTCCATTTCATTCCAACAGAGCCAGCCCGTTTACGGACCTTCCTTGCCCGTTGATATCTGGCTCCGCCAGCCTTCCTTCTCCTTGCCAGGCATGTGCCCCCCAACACAATATCCATGCTGAAACAGTGTCTAATTTAATCATTAATAATGATAACTTTCCGTCATTAATTGGTAATCTAAAGCGGAGTCGTGAAGACTTGATTCAAGCTACTCAACCAATTACGCATCGTCTCCAGCCGTTAACTGTCATGGCGGAAACTGCCAACGGGAAGCCAAATTCATTCCCGCAGCATCTGCGTGATGGACACACCAAATATCAAAGTATGAAGGACACTTGCTATGAGAAAGACACCCCTGCAAATGCCTGTGTTCGTTGCGTTGGGTCGGCGGTGCCTGACGTAGTTCTGCCTCATCTTCCTTCAGTAGAAGCACGACACCACCTCGGCATTTGCGCTCAATATTCCCATGCTTCTGACGAGACTTCAGGAAACGTTGTCCTGAACTGCTTGATTGCATTGCACCACGCAGTGCAGTCCCGCGCTGGCAACAAGTCCGACTTTGTTCTCACCGAGTCCGTGGTGCAGGTGTTGATGGCTTGGCTGGTGCCGTTCATCACTGAAACAGTTGACGCTAAACTCGACCAGATATTTTGCGACGAAAACGTAGCAAGTTTCTTCCGTGACATTCTCCGGGAAGGCAGTGAAGGTGAGGCCGCTGGGACGGGTCGCTGGAGTTGCTACTTGCATTCAGTGCTCGGGGGCGAGCGACTCTGGGGCGCCACGGCCGAGCGTGAGCTCGTCGATGTCGCCACGCTCAAGCGACTTCTCTTGGCCGCGCTGCCTGGTGAGATGCTCGTATTAAATAGAACATTTCAGTCACGTGCTGAATATTGTTTAATTTTTAGCCTGTGTGTCTATTTTTAATTCAAATATAATATTTTTTCCATGTTCATTCCTCTCACCTGTCTATGGTTAACCTGGTTGTGACAGTACTCGTAATATTTCGTTGCAAGATGCCTTGTTGAAGCTGGGCTATGGAGAGCAGCTTGTGGACGGCACGTTGCTCCAAACAAGCTCCACTTCAGCAGGACAGTGTTCCAGTTGGCAAAACGAGGCCAAATGCTACCAGAAATTAGTTTTCTCGGTGCATTAAATGAAACAATAAATAGAAATCTTACGTGGGATCTGTGCTGTGTTCCTCAACGCTTATAATATTGAACTTAGAATATTTCATGGAAAGTTCAGTGTAATTGTCGTCAGTGTGAGTTAAATCAGTGTCAATTTAGACAACATTCGGTTAGAAATAATATACAAAATAAAGGTTATCACGTGATCTCTTAGGAATGAGTACCACGACCATACGTGGTTATTTGATATATATTATTCAATTCACGTTCAATGTTAGAATTAACCAGTCGAATGTTGCTGCATGTATAGCTGCTGACCAAGTACAGCGAAATTATGCTGATGATGCCGGTGTTGCTTGTGTTGCTTGTAACCCCCGTGTGCTGTGTTGTGTGTGGCCAAGTCTCCCCTGTATGGGAAGTGTTGGAAATATCTTCCTTGAGGTGCTGCGAAATTAGGGAAAGTGTCACTGGACCCAGTCGGGTTCATGAGCTTATTCACTCAAACCCATCAAACACACTTGATGACACATCAACGTTGGATTTCGTGTAAATCTTGAGTATTTATGCGACTTATTCAGTGAAGTCTAGTAGCTACTTCAAACTATCGTCAGTCATGAAAAGATCCGGTCAAATGAAACGAGATTAGATCTTCTGTGAACAAGGCACGAAAAGAAAAAGAATCTGCAACAGGCCACATCAGGCCTACTCTTCAACGCCGACATCACTATGTTATGTTATGTTATGCTATGTTATGTTATGTGCCGTAGTAAAGGCTCACTATGTTATGTTAAGTGCCGTAGTAAAGGCTTGTTCACTGCAACAAGGAGGAACTTGGCTATGCCTAACGCTGTTGTGGCGGGACCCAGCGCGCTACTCTAGCGTCTTTTGTTGTGATGCCACGAGATGACCGAAGTGAAGCGTTCAAAGTGCATGTCAAGCCGCTTAACTGATCCATGTACTCCAGGTGAGTGGACATTAACTTATAATAATATTTATTAATGTTCTTACCATTGAATTTTCTCATTCAGCAAAATTAGTTTTTTCCTTCAAGATTACCGTGAAACCAGGGTCTTGTTGCACCGGCATTCATTGATGCTATGTTATTTAAAATTCCTGGTTAAAACCCAATTTAATTTTGCGCCAACTTTGCGGTGACTGAAGGCGCGATAATTTCTTCGTCGAAGAGCTTATTCTCTGCCTTGCTCTGCATTGGTGGACGCTTCGAGCATAACACAATACAAATAATCTTATCGCAGATATTTTTTGCGATGGCTCTGTTTTTCTTGTGTTAATTGTTGTGGTCGAATGTACGAACAACAATAAGTGTTTCGCTGTGATGAAAATTTAGTGGTTATAGTAGCATTTTGGTTACGATAATTATAACTTATTATTTAATTTCTCTGCACACAACTTCCATGTACACCTGTAAACTTTGTTGACATTATGGGTACGTACATTCACTCATTCTGTGGAATTATTTAGAATTCCAAAGAACTACCAGGCACTTTCTTCATTTCACGACGTACATGTAATCATGTACGTACATGTAACCACGGAATCATTTCACATTTTATGTAATCATTTCACGGAGGTTGACCACACTACGCCAGTAGCCCAGTTTCTGTGCCAGGCTTCTCACTAGCCACTCATCTTGCGTATAGTCACTTCGAGATTTACGCAGCAAGTGTCGCTGTCTCAAGGCATGATTTGATTCAAGACGTCTTCATGCAGTGCGGGCATGAGAAGCATTACGCAGCATGCAGCACCCCGCNTTCATGCAGATGAACTTTTGTAGGCGGTGTAAGTGAAGAGATTTAAAACGGCGTGTAACTTGTGTACTATACCAGCTGGTGTGATCCTGTATACGGGAACCACTGGCTGCTCTAAAAATGTTAGAAACAAGAGAACAAATCCACCGAGAATGAGATCTGTAACAAATGTCAAGGTAAGGTCTGAAGATCATTCTTATTGTAAGAAAAATATGTGCATTATCATAGCGACACTGGTGTGCGTCTGATCACTCGTGTGTCTGAGGCTAATATTTATGTAATATGTAATAATATTATGTAATAGAATTGACTGTTGAGCATATTGCCTGCATTATTTTATGGTGCATGTCGGTATATTACTAATTATAAGACACCATCACACCATCAGATGTTGGTCACTGGAGGAATAGGTTCGCGCATTTTTCGTATATATACATTTGTATCCAGAGTTTCTACCCTATATTACCTGGTTGGATGGTTTAGTTAATCCATCTTTTAGCTGACTCCAGTTAGCAGCATCCCCGGCCTGTATCATTATTACTGACGCTCAACTTATTGAAATTATATTACATTTTCGGCTCATAAAACGCTAACGCTATACTTTTTCCATATTACATAACGCATTTTTCGCTCATAACAAAATGCTGTTGTTGCTCAAATAAAAAGTCTTTTTTTTTTTTGCTCAAAACATAACGTTATTTAGTGAAAACTTCACGACGTGAAGAAACGAGAAAAACAATAATTTTTCAAATAACGTTATTTAGTGAAAACTTCACGACGCGACAAAAACATTAATTTTTCAACTAGAAATTTACTTTGGATTTTCACTTCACTCGAGACGTCTTCTGGAGGCATATAAACTGCGGGACTATACTAGCATGAGAAGCGCACTCTATACGTTGCTCCGTATACCGCACACGGGCTACTGCATACACTCTACACTGCTAGTATAGCCTGGAGTGCTCCATGTAACTCCATGTAACTGTAACTGCTGAGACCAGCCTACAGATGTTGAAGTCCGTCACAATATGTAGGTTGACGGTCCATTATCTAGTGAGGAACCGATGCAGGCGCTAAATTAGCTCTATGTGATTTTCCTTTTAAGTCATTCAATGCCACCATCTGTGGAGGAATCATAAAGCAAAAGATAGCTCCAATATAATACTAAGTATATATATCTCTACCGTTTCGAGATTATATTTCATGCCTAGCCCAAAATATATTTTTTATCCGGGTTTCAAATCGTTAATTAAATGGGATATTTTTTACATTAAATTATGGTTTAGATGGGTCTGTATTTAATTTAAGGGGGCGCAACTGAAGTATTATAATTATTTTTGGAAATAAGTTTTGATAACATTTCCAAAAAATGTCGGTAACTACGTCGCCCGGCGCAGCGCCGGCTGTCCCTATGAGTGTAGTTAGTTGCCGCTTATCGCTTCCCCGACACGGGGAAGTGACCTCTTGGCTTCCCCGACACGGGGAAGTGACCTCTTGGCTTCCCCAGACACGGGGAAGTGACCTCTTGGCTTCCCCAGACACGGGGAAGTGAGCTCTTGGCTTCCCCAGACACGGGGAAGTGAGCTCTTGGCTTCCCCAGACACGGGGAAGTGACCTCTTGGCTTCCCCAGACACGGGGAAGTGACCTCTTGGCTTCCCCAGACACGGGGAAGTGAGCTCTTGGCTTCCCCAGACACGGGGAAGTGAGCTCTTGGCTTCCCCAGACACGGGGAAGTGAGCNTGGTAATCCAAATCAGAAGCTGCCGCGCCTGTAAATTTTCACTGGGTAACAACATTTAGAGTCGCCCCAGCCTCTGGTAATCCAAATCAGAAGCTGAAGCGCCTGTAAATCTTTACTGGGTTGCGTCCTGCGTAGTCGACCACTTCGATCAGTTAGAAAACGTGTGTCCGCTTTCTCCTGTGGGAGGCGGACGCTTGCTTGAGCCTCCGGCTAAACGGAGACTGCAAAAACTTGCGCTCCGGGGCCCTATAACCTCATTTGGTGGTGCGGGCATCTGGTGCTGCTACTTGTGGTGATTATGGTGATGTGGGTAGTGCTGCTACTTGTGGTGATGTGGTTATAGTACGAGGCTTGTGGTTAGTACTGGTGTTGTGGTTTTAGTTCTTGGGTTGTGGTTAGTGCTGGCCTTGTTGTTGGTGCTGGTCGCGTTGTTGGTGCTGAATAGTGTTCTTCGTGCTGGTCTCCTCGCCCACTGTAATTGTTTGGATGTTGCACATACGTTAGTATTGTTATATTGCTATTTATTTTTATCGTATTTATTGCTGCTAATAACATTGCAGTTTGAAAGCTATGCAGTTACTGAAAAAATATGCAGTTACTGAAAGCTATGTCCTTGTGCTGGTGACTAATTTGTAAGCGTTTGTTACATCTTCAGAACAGTTTCATCTCGCTTTATTTAGGCATGACCTTAAAGCGTCACTGCAACACATTTTGTTGTTAGCGCATTTTCTCATTTATGCAAAAAAGGCACTATTGTGCTAATGTCCGTCCGTCCGTCCGTCCTACGGACGAGAAAATACGCTCTGTCACTCACTTCAGTGAGTACTGATCTAATTTTTTCGTACATTGGCTTGATTTGCGGATCCCGGTTGCGTCATAGCGGCTGCAGAAATAATAAATAACTTAACGCTTCTGCTGACAGCAACGAAGTCCGAGGCATGACGGTGGCTACGACCAAGAGCTACCCAGTGAAAATTTACAGGCGCGTCAGCTTCTGATTTGGATTACTAGAATCTGGGGCGACTCCAAATTTTGTTGGGGTACATGTGTCACTATGAGGGATGCCGCCTCTCCGCTCCCGACATGACCGCGGCTCGTGTCTCCTCAATTGCGTTCATTAATGTATAGTCTCATTCTTGTGCTCTTGTTCCTCCAACGTGCCAGCTGTTATTGTCGCGTCACCAATGAGAAATTATTTCCGTGTTCAGGAGCGTTATTTTCTATTTGCGACCGGCATAGATGCTGTCTCTTATACACATCTAGATGTGTATAAGAGACAGGACCTCTTGACTTCCCCAGACACGGGGAAGTGACCTCTTGGCTTCCCCAGACACGGGGAAGTGAGCTCTTGGCTTCCCCAGACACGGGGAAGTGAGCTCTTGGCTTCCCCAGACACGGGGAAGTGACCTCTTGGCTTCCCCAGACACGGGGAAGTGAGCTCTTGGCTTCCCCAGACACGGGGAAGTGA